ACACACACACACACACACACACACACACACACACACACACACACACACACACGGTGGTGGTAATTGGTTTAGATCAGACTAACCAGTATTGGTTCCTAAGACATTTCAAGGAGTAGAAAATGCCAGAATAAAAGCTGATGTCCCGGCAACTAAAGTGGAAACAATGTCTGGACAGTCAGCGGCTATTGTCACTCTTGCATGTTGAAACTTGATGTTTCCAACGGTCCATCTCAGATACCATCTCATCCATAGTCTCCCTTTACAGGAATTCTCTCACCTCTTTTAAATTCCAGTAGCTCTCAATTTCTACTTTACAGCTAACATTCAACATTAAGAATAGTGTAGTCAGGCTGGGGAGATGGCTCAGTGGTTAAGAGCACTGGCTGCTCCTCCAAAGACCTCGGTTCAATTCCCAGCACCCACATGGCAGCTCACAACTGTCTGTAACTCCAATTCCAGGGGATCTGGCACCCTCATACAGACATGCATGCAGGCAAAAATATCAATGCAGATGAAATAAAAATAAATTTAAAAGAAAAATAGTCTGTTCAGTCCCTGGCTTCCCTGTGGCTCCTTGGGCAGGACTGTCCTTGCGACTGTGTTCTGCCTGAAATACTGTGCTTTGTATTCATCAACTGGGCTTGCGGCAGATGACCAAACCCTGCTGAAGTCCCTCCTTTGTGTGGCCAGGGCTGAGGCTCACTCTCCATCCTCATTTCATAAAGCACTTAGTTCAGGGAGGAGACCTCTATAACCTGTAGAACTATCAGAGTATGAATGTATCAGTCTTCTAATCCTTGGGTTTTCTGTTGCTCCTTTTGATACAGAGTTAATGATTGATATTATTATTAGATTCTTGGCCCCAGCAGCTTTCACTACATTACTATATAGTTAAGTTTAAGTTACTGTATTCTATTGAAATTCTCTCTCTCTCTCTCTCTCTCTCTCTCTCTCTCTCTCTCATCTTTTCATCTTTCCTTCCTTCCTTCCTTTTTTCCTTCCTTCCTTTGTTCTTTTTTCTTTTCTTGTTTTGTTTGTTTTCTTTTTGAAATAGGGATTTTCTGTGTAATAGCCCTGGCTGTCCTGGAACTTTGTAGACCAGGCTGGCCTCAAACTCACAGAGATCCACCTGCCTCAGCCTTCCAAGTGCTGGGATTAAAGGCATGCACCAACACACCCAGCAAAATTCTTTTTTGAAATAAGATTCTAAGTAGAAAAATAAAAGACAGCCAGGCAGTGGTATAACATACCTTTAATCCCAGCACTCAGGAAACAGAGGCAGGCAGATCTCTTGAGTTCGAGGCCAGACTTGTCTACAGAGTGAGTTCTAGGACAGCCAGGACTACACAGAGGAACACAATCTTGTAAAAAAAAAATTTAAAAAGTATTAAAAACAAAGGCCTTTAGCACCTTCATTTCTATTTTTTTCTCTTGATGGTAGATTTATTCAAAGAATTTTTATTTGCATTTCTTTGCAAAGGATCTTGGGAAGCCAGTATATGGATTAGAAAGAGTTAAGTCTAGTGTGGATAAAAGATTATAGAGGCTGAAAACGTTGTGGATTTTTATTTATTTATTTTATTTTAATTTTAAAAATTTGGGGGGAGAAAAAAATTTAAAAAAATAAAAATAAATAAAAAATTGGGGGGAAGTTAACAGTCTCAGAATTGTAGTCTCAGTTATTCCGCCTCACTGCCCCAAGTGCTGAATGTACAAGGTTACTCACGACATTTGCCTGAGAACTTCATATTCATGATTCTTAAACAATTATAAACATTTATATTTTAACCTTCAAATTTATGGTAAGACCACTCTTATATGTCTATGCATCATTCTGATTATCCTCAAATAACATTTAATTCATTCTTAAATTATGTTTAGATGGAATGTTTTATGTGTATGACATTAGAAAAGTTATTAGATTATTTGAAAATTATGTTCTGAGGGGACCGTAGAGACGGCTCAGCGGTTAGGAGCACTTGTTGATCTTGCAGAGGTCTTGCATTCACTTCCCAGCACCCACATGGTGGCTTACAACCCTCTATAACTCTAGTTCCTGGGAATCTGATGACCTCTTCTGATCTCCTCAGGCACCAGGCACACGTGTGGTGCTCATAAATACTTGCAGGCAAAACACTGATACAGATAGAAAAAATTAAATATATAAAACCCTCAAATTTATGGACTGAAGTGGCTATTAAGAAAACTTCAAAAGAAGACTGAGGAGAAAGTGTTTAGTCAACAAAACCCATGCCATGCTATCATGAAGACTTGAGTTCAATTCCCAGAACCCACCGTTTAGAAAAAAAAAAAAAAAAAAAAGAGCCCGGCATAGCATGCATAGTGGTATAGCCCAGCACTGGGGATGCCGACACAGGAGGATTGCTAGGGCTTCCTGGCCAGCCAGCTTAGCCCAGTTAATAAATTCAAAGCCAACATAGGACCCTGTGTCAAAAAACATATGAAAGGTGTCCTGAGGAGCAAACAATGCCCAAGGTTGACCTCTGCCCTTCACTCATATGCCACACGTAGAGTCACCTCAGGTCTTCTGTGTAGAGTCACACAGGTCTTCATGAAGTGCGTGGCTTAGATCTCTGTGCTTAGACGACCTCGCAGTTGTCCTTTGCTTGTCTGCTTTGGTGCTCCCGACCACCCATGACAGTCAGGCTCTCACTGTGCCTCTCCACCTTCAGTTATTAGTGGGGCCATCACTGCTCACCAGGAGTATTCCAGGCACCTCCTAAGCGGTCCCAGCTTCTGTTCAGTGTCCCTCTGTGTGTTCTGAGCCCAGTAGCCTTTCCTCATCACATTTGAAGTGTAAAGTAGATCATGTTATGTCTTGGCTCAGAGCGCTCCATGGCTTCCTGTGTGCTTAGAATAACAAAGTCACTGAGGAGATCAACAAAGCTGTATGTTCTGTCTCTGCTTCACCTAACATTAGCTTTCCTCACCTTTCCCTCTGTCTCACCCACTTGCGGCTCCTTGCTGGAGTCCTTGTGCTTCTGACCAGGCGCACCTCTGTCAGACCCTTTGCAGACCGACTGGTGTGGCTGTAGCATTTCACCTCAGGGAGCCATGTGCAAAGCGCCCAGTACCTCTTCCTGTAAAGGGACATTTAACAACAAGAAGAGGTACTGGACCTCTGGTTGGCCAACCCTTCAAAACTGTTACATCCTCATCTTGCTGAGTTACTGTAATATATGCCCTACTCTGATTTTCTGAAGTCTTATAAAAGTGTCCTCTGTCTCAAGTGTCTTGTACCAGATTGTCAGTGGAGGGGGTACCAGATTGTCAGTAGAGATACCATCTGCAGAGGAACTGTCTCCAGGCCACTGGTTCCACTTCACAGGAAATTAAATTTTGTAAAATCTCAAAATTCACTAGTATTTGTTGTTTAATGTAGCATTCTGGCTTTAGTTTAAAAGTACAGAGTCCCCAAATAATTCAAGGACAGCGCTGAAGAACTAGCTCAGGTGGTAGAGGGCACCGTGCAAGCACGAGGGCCTCGGTTTGAGTTCAAGAACCCATGTTTTAAAAAAAGCCAAGTATAGTACCGCATACTTGTCATCTCAGCATGGGGGAGGCAGATGGATCCTCGAGGCCTCCTGGTGTGTGAGCCTAGTGGAGTCAGCAAGTTCCAGACCGACTGAGAGAAGTTCAGGCAGAGCCTGTAGCCAGGGTCCTGCCCACGGTTAACCGCTAGCCTCTGTAGTGCCCTGCACATCCCATTCACACAAATCCTCCTCCTCCTCTTAGTGGTAGCAGAATAGCGTACATAAGTCTGTAATTAAAAGCTGTTAGCTTTTACTTAGCACTCAGGAAATGGAGGCTGGAGGGTCTCCAGTTCTAGGCCAGCCTGGGTGACATTGCAAGTTCCTATCTCAAAAAAGAATTAATTAAAACAGCAAAGTGAAAACATTTTAATAACAATCTAAAACTCATTTCTCAACTCTGGGAAGGTCGCCTGATGTTATCAACTCCAGACAGGATGCCTGATTATCTTGGCAAGGTTATTTTGAATGTCAGATGGGAAAATTTAGTAAGTTCTCTGATGAGCTCCACACTGAAGAGAATGTGAATATTCTTTAATCAGAGTCTTATTTTCCTAGGTGTATTACACACCATAAATTTGTTTCCTAGGATATTTGACTGAATTGTGTGTCTGTTTCCCCCTTCCCTGTTTTGTTTCTAGATTAACAAAAGCAGTGGTATTGTGGAAGCTTCGCGGATCATGAATTTATACCAGTTTATTCAGCTTTATAAAGACATCACAAGTCAAGCTGCTGGAGTGTTGGCGCAGAGCTCCACCTCTGAAGAGCCCGATGGGAGCCTGTCCTCTGTAACGTCTTGTCAGGCTAGTCTGTGGATGGGCAGGTGTGTGTGCACCTTGGAGCACGGCCACAGTGACTAGGTTCTCCCTAGCGCTCTGTGACACCCGCAGTCCCAATGCCTCCGCCTGTGTTACCGCCCGGATCAGTTTTAGGTTTATCCTGTCCTTCCATTCTGTCCCAGATTAAGGGGGCTCACAGCTCACTCTCCAGGAACCCACTCTGTCACTTACATTTATAACATTGATGACTGATGTCTCCCCTTTAATGAGTTTTTAGACAGTCAAAGCCATTCATAAAATTAAGTCCAAGAATTTGACAGAATTGTTTCAGAAATTATTGAATTGGAAGTTAAGTTTTTAAATGCTGTCTTCAGGCCATGGCAGTCCACTCAGGACAGAACAGGCAGTTGTGTGCCTGTTGACGCTGCATTAGTCTGGAGTTGGCCGCCGCAGTGCTCCTTTACTCAGGCCGCAGATATTACTGTTCTGTCTGAGCTTTCCTTCATCCATGCTTTTGGTGTTGCAAGCTTCCACCTGCTGCTGCTTGGCATGACATATTTAAATTTGTAAATGCCTACTGGAAAAGACTTCTGCTTTTCCAGGCATGTTGATATCCTTACTGGGACACTGGAGATGTCCTTAACATTAAGAATGTGTTCGGCATGAGTACCTCTTTATTCCTTTATTGACACTTGCAATTTTGCTTCATTCTGAGTGTTTGGGAAGCTGAAAATGGCTTTTGCGTCTGTGGCTACACAGCAGCAATTGAAAAGCAAGTGGCATTTCTCTGCCTGTTGGGGCCGTCTTCAGGAAGGTGCTGAAGTGTTGCTCTTAGAGACTAGGAGAGCAGTGCCAGTTGGTTAGGTAAGCCAGTACTTGGCTTCATGTGTTGTGGGCTTCTAGTGGTGCCCTGGTCCCCAGCTTATAGAGAAGAACTTTGCAAGTGGTAGGTGAGCCTGGGGGCCTTCCGCAGTCCTGTGTATTGTCACATGTATAGTTCTACTAATGACTGCTGTTTGTTGAGCCTTGTAGTCCCCAGGAATACAGCTGGTCCTGTGAGGAAGCGGGTTTAGGGGAGTATTGTGGGGCTAGATACTGATTGGCATAGCCGACTCCCATTTAGTGCATGGCAACTCAGCGGTTTGGAGGAGGAGCTCTGAGGTGCTCCAGTGCCACTGATCCTAGGCGACTGCTCTGTCTGTGCTCTGCAGTGTCCAGACCGCCGTATTTCACCACATGGAAACCAGCGTGCACTCCGTTACGTTACCACCAGCCCCAGAGCTGTGTGAGACCACCTCAGGGAGGCATTCAGGGAGCTCGAACTCCTGTGAAGGTTTTCGCCTTGCCTTCTATCCTCAGTGTATCAGTCTGGCCCTCTGGAGGCAGCACAGCAGAGGCCCTAGAACCAGTCTGCCTATGTTCAAACCTGAAATCCTCTCTTTCCTCAGTTTCCTCGTCTTTTGTAAGAGGTTGAGAGCAATGGCATGTGCCCCAGAGGACTGTGTTAATAGATGGACACAGAATGGTGCCCGGCACGTAACGGTGTGTGTAGGTTACCATCTGTCACCATCATTATTAAATTATAGAGTGCCCTGCTTGAGTGCAGTGACCATGCATGGCCTCTGGAATTCCACCAGACAAGTCTGATTTCTTCTGTCCTTCAAATGTTGAAAACTAATCACATACCCACTGAACTTGATCTCCAGAATAAGTGTCTCCAGCCTTTGTGTCCTGGGTTCTTCCTGCACTGGTGTCCTGTGTTCTTCGTCTGTCAGTGTGCCTCTCAGGTTCTGTGGTAGGGAGCTGCACTCTTCCAGCTCCGAGGGGTCAGGGAGAACAAGGTTCCTTCCTCCTGCTCACTGTGCTAAGAGGAAGGTGGTAGAGAGTGGGCATAGAGCAGCTTCTGCTGGCAATGTCTTCATTTTCTCTGGGTACATTCAGTTGCTATTCTCTGTGATGGCCTGCTCCTGATTCTGAAGCTTCCCTGTCAGAACGCCCTGTCACACTGTGGAGTCTGCAGTGCTCTCAGCTGCTGAGACCTGCAGGTGATTGGAAGCTTGTAGGCAGAAATGTTAAGCCCTCTGAATCCGGTGTGGATCTGAAAAGGCGCCTAATGGTCAGTATGCATGAGCTGATGGATATATGTGTATAAATGTTCACATGTGTGTTTGCACGTGCATATATGTGCGCATACACAGATGTATGCATGAATGCACATATCAATCCACATGCTTGTAGGTTTCCACTCATTTCACCATTTTGGTTCAGTGAGCACTCTTTTCTCCATGGCTAAAGCAAACAATGTGTTACCTCACCCTAGTGATATGTCTGTTGTAATGCCCCTTAAAGCAGGCCCTAGCTGTCCCTCAATTGTGTTGTGAGATCAAGTTCCTACTTCATTTCCTCTCTCTAGACTGCCTCTTGCTCTCCACTCTCAGCTAATTTTCCTGAAATCCTGAATCAGCAGGAATTTGTGTTCCCTTGATTAGATGCTGATTCTAGTTTTCCTCTTAGAGCAAGTTCAGATTTGTATTTTGTCATTCAAGAATCAGATTGTCTTTGCTATATTATCAGTCTTTTCTCTCAGTTTAACTCCTGAGCATCATGTGGCCTTGTACACACACACACATACACACACACACACACACACACACACACACGTTTCATGTGTTTCATGCCTTCATGGCTTACTTTATGCTCTAGAATGGTCTCTATCAGTGTTCTTTGATTTCTCTCTCTCGTTTCCAAAAATACTTACTTGGCACATACTATGCATGCTGCACATTTGATATTTGTTTACATTATGTTCAAATCAGCAAGTTCTAAGTGTTACTGCCATGCTTACATGCTGTACTATAAATTCAGCAGGGATGGAACTGTATCAGACCGGCTCCTCCCTTAAGAAAAATCACAGAGAATAAAACATTTACAATCACTTTAAGAAAGTTTGTATTCAGAAAGCTAAACTATAGGGTGACTAATCATGGGACAGCAGTGTGCAGTTTCTAAATGATTTAATTGAGGTAAGATTTGGTTTTGAGAACAGGAGGTGGATATTTTAGGCTGAGCTACTGGAGTTGGTGCTGAGGAAACTCCGCATGCAAAGGAGTGCGGTTTCTGTGGCGCTGGCTCCTTCCTGGGAGCTTCCTGAGCTGGGGCTGCTGTGCTCCAGCCCCTTTGTGTTCCTTATGGCATCTGATACTGACCACTACGCTGTCCCTTCGCTCTGATACTGTCAGTGCCCCTGTAAGGCCCTGTTGATGAGGCAGCATGTGTCTGTTATGGCAAATGAATGATATACTGATTCATTTCCTGAATGTAAATTCAGTATGTCTAAGATGGACTGAGTTATTTCAGAAAGACCTGAATATGCAGTTTTTGTTCAGATTTTGTTTTCTTTAAACTGCATAGAATTTGTCTTTTTATCAAGTCTTTCGAGTTTCTTAAAGAAACTTAACCTTGGTATTTCTTCCCTGTTGTATTTGCTGTCCCCAAAAGATGTGAATTGTGGTCTGGTTTTCGCTTTGCAGATAAGTCATGCTGTACTTTATACTGTGGTATTTACTGATGCTTTTTAAGACAGTGGAACAAAGTAGGAAGTGTGTGGACAGAGACTGTCATTGTTGTAGCTCAGTTTTCACACTCAGGGTGAAGCAGCTGACGGATGAGGAGGAGTGTTGTATCTGCATGGACGGGCGAGCTGACCTCATCCTGCCCTGTGCTCACAGCTTCTGTCAGAAGTGCATTGATAAATGGTAAGTTAGCCACTCCCCTTGGAGTAGCGGAGGTCAGCTGGGCTGTGGGTAAACAACTGGGAATGCAGTGCTTCAGTACTGACCACGGGAGTTTCGCTCTGCACTACTCTGAGTTTTATGGTGTGCCCATAGTTTAAATATTTTTATACCTAATGCTTATGAAGTGTGGAGCTGTCACTTTGTTGATTTTTTTTTTTGCTTTTGCTTTGTTTTGTTTTTATTTTTCAAGACAAGGTCTTTCTGTATAACCCTGGCTGTTCTGGAATATATCCTGTAGACCAGGCTGGCCTCAAACTCGGAGATCTGTGTGCCTCTTCCTCCCAAGTGCTGGAATTAAAGGCGTGTGCCACCACTGCCCAGCCAGACACTGTAAGCATCTTGATGCCTGATCTGAATCTAGAATCAAACACTTTCCCCTTTTCAGCATCCACCCACTACATAATTCACTATAATTCACCATATGTGTGTAGAGGAACAAATCCTCAGCTGTGTGATCTGGAGGGATGTTTGGTCAACTAATTAGGGTCATTTGCTTACAAGATAATGGAGCATTTAGAAAAATTTATAATTGATATGCAATAAGCTATATATGTATCTGAAGTATAATCTCATATGCTTTAATTTGTGTGCATACTAATGAAATCTGTCAGAACAAGATGAAGAGCAATCCATTACACCCCAGAATTACCTATAGTCTGATTCTTAAGCAGCTATTAAATGCTTTTAGTTGCTAAAATTACTTTAGATTTGCTAGACTTTTAGAGTGACACCCTACAGGGTATTCTCTCTGTTGTCGAGGCTCCTCATTCTGTGTAATCATCTTTAGATTTAGCCATGGTGGAGGTGCAAATAAGTGCCAAATAAAAGCTCCTGTATTTGTTTGTGGACAGGTATGTTTTATGGACATGTATTTTGACTTCTTTTTCTACCTCAAGTGGTCAGATCATATATAACAGATGTTTCTCAAGAAATTGCCAACTCAGTCCCAAAGCAGTCACTACTTTAAAAAAAAATTGTTGTTGTTTTTTGAAACAAGATCTTGTAGTATTTAGCCCAGGTATGCCTCAGTTGGAACTTGCCTCAGCTTTCTAACTCTGGAATTATAGATGTGCACTCTCCAGTACCACGTAGGAGTTCCACTGTCTTCCCCACTGATGTGACACAGTCCTTCAGAGTGTCCAAGAGTCAGAAGGGTCCAGTCTGGCTGTGGGAACACGGCCTGTGCCTCTGAGACCTTTGCATTCACCTCTCGAATTCCAGCCTCCTGGCATCTGCTCGGATGCTCACACTGATGTGCTCTGTTGTTCAGTGATGGGCCTGCTGTCTCTTGGCCCTGCCCCTGTGTGGCTGCCTGCTGTACAGGGCTCTAGCTGCCTTGCCTTAGCTGTTTCTTCAATAGCCTGCCAGGCCTCCGAGGTCCCCTACTTTTTTTTATGAGTCCTGGAAACCCACAGGACATCTGGCTTACAATCACAGGCTCACTTTGCTTCTCACCTCTTGGGAGTCACATCATTGTCTGTGTCCAGTGTTTTACATGGAACCTCACCTGACACCATTCTTCCGGACGTTGTGTCTTGTGTATTTAGCTGTTTTAAGTGGGAAGATGTCTGAGGGTTTCTATTGCCATGAAAAGACACCATGACAACAGCAACTCTTATAAAGGACACACATTTAATTGGGGTGGCTTGTATTTTCAGAGGTTTAGTCCATTATCATCATGGTGAAACATGGCGATGTGCAGGCAGACACAGTGGCTACATATTGATCACAAGGCAAGGAAGTGGACTGAGATACTGGATGTGGCTTGAGCATATATGAAACCTCAAACCCCACCCCCACAAGACACACACACTTCCTCCAACAAAGCCACACCCACTTCAACAAAGCCACACTCCCTAATTGTGAGACTTCCTTTGGGGGCAATTTTCTTTGAAACCATCACAGAAAATAAATCAAGTTTCTGCTAGCCAGAAGCAGAAATTGATTGTTTTTAAATTGTGATGTTTTATTTATAGAAAACCACACATAATTATCTTGTAAACCATCTCCAGGGAGCCCCAAATCAACCAAATAGTGTATGCCAACTCCATACATTTTTTTGGAATAAGTTTCTCAGCTTTTGTACAAAAACAAAAGAACAGCTGATGAGCTGGTTATTTGACCCTAGGTTTCACTGTGAGAAGGGAGACTCTCTTTCCTTTCATAATATATTTCTAGCTTAAATATGGTATTTAAGTTCCCAAAGTAGTATTTGATTAGGGCAATCCCATTGTAAAACATAATCTTAAGTAATCAAGTGTGTACTCTGTATCAGAAAATTATCCTGTATGTAAGTGTCAACTCTTGTTTTAAACCTCAGATGCTCCATCTTTGTACAATTTTCCAAATTTTTCTTGGTTTTGAACCAAAGGATATTTTATCAGAACTTTAATTGTAATTAACTTGTCAAAAGTCTTTTATTTTTCTGCATGTGGTGGCACACACCTTTAATCCCAGCACTTGAGGAGGCAGGGGCAGACAGATCTCTGTGAGTTCAAGGCCAACCAGTCTATATAGCAAGGTCTGTGCCAGCCAAAGCTGCATAGAGACCCCTATCTTTAAAAAAATGACCTTTATTACTCAGTATAATAATTAGTAATAATCTTTGCTGCTACCATATGCCTACCACTAACCAAACATAAGTACCAAGGCACAATGGCTTCCGCTTAAATAAAAATAAATATTTACACTTTGATCAACTCTCCCACTGGTAAGAGGTAGCTTTCTCTTAATAAGGAATTTGTCTTATAAGGGAAAACTTAGTTGGATGCAGGAATAAGAATTAAAGACCCTGGCCTGTGGTATCAAACAAAATGTGTGTGTGTGGGGAGAACACTGCGTATCTTTTTACTGGAGATTAGATACATTATGGCGTCTTCATACAGTACATGCTCTTTGCAAAGTAAATTCAGGTCCAGGTGTGTTGGTGTGTGCTGCAGTCCCAGCGCTGCGCAAGTGGACACAAGAGGACGGCAAGCTCTGGGCTAGTCTGGGGGCTGGAGAGCGAGACTCTGTCTCAAAGGGGAAAGCAGAAAGACTAACACAGCATCTGCTGGTGCCGAATGGTTTCTGAGATGTGGTGGTAGCACAAGGTCAGTGAGACACACAAGCGTCCGTTTCCTATCAGCCTGAGGTTTTAATCCATCCCTAGTAAAATAAGTAGACAACACAACTGGTTGGCCCTAAGGAAGAGAATTAAAGGTTGGCATGAAGAGAAATGTTAACTCTTTTTTGTGTACTTTTATGGTATTTGCTTTTTTTTTTTAAGCCATCTACTTTTCAAGCAGACCTGTTTTTTTTTTTAAAAAAAAAAAAAAGAAAGAAAGAAAACAATCTTGTTTTGCTTGGACTTCCCTGACAGGAGTGATCGGCACAGGAACTGCCCCATTTGTCGCCTACAGATGACTGGAGCGAATGAATCGTGGGTGGTGTCAGATGCACCCACTGAAGATGACATGGCCAACTATATTCTTAACATGGCTGACGAGGCTGGCCAGCCCCACAGGCCGTGACTGAGGAAGACTCTTGTTATTGTGAGCTGCAATACACTCTGGTCATAGAGGAGGAGTGGAGGGATGTGTGGCGCACACAGGAAGATCAGTTTTTCCACCCTCTTATTTTTGCTATTCTGATAATATGTCCCGTTCCTAAATAAACTCCCTTCCCATGTCTTCCATGTAGGGTGGGCTACACTTTGCTACTGTTTGGCCATATTCCCCACTGTCCACCTGTCCTTTGTTGCTCTTGAACCCTTTGCTACAGATAGCAGCCATACTTGACACTACTGCTTTTCAGGGAGGGGTGTTCTGCATCTTCTTAGCTAGGTTTAAAATGTAGGCTATTGAAAGTTGTGGCCATCTGAGCTAAACTATTGGAACTAATGTCTCAGTGGGGTTGCTACCGCTGGGACCTGAGGTGCACTCCGCCCCCTTGTGGTTCATCCTGGATCCTTCAATACTATGGCCCAGTTGCTTCTTGGCGTTACTGTAACTTCAGCATGGGTTCTGGCGCTACTCGATCACTGCGGTGCTGCAGCGCTCAGAGAAGGGCTCTGAGCTTGGGACTTGGTCTTGCAATGGACTCGACTGGAAGAATTTTCACGGCTTTTCTCCGGACCTGGAGAGGGGTCCACTGGATTACCCATAATGGCCCTGTAGCTTGGCTTTCTGAAGGAATCTCTTTCGTGCAGATACACTTTTATCTTTCCGGGTCACTCTGAGTCATCAAATCTGAGCTGGAGTCTTTGTTTTAAGTAAAGGCACCTTTCAGAGGCTTCGGTTTCCTCAAATCTCCTGGATATTTTTTTTAAAAAAAAAAAAAAGGAAGATGAGATGAAGTTTTTCACCATGCATTAGTAAACCCCTGAAATCCAGAGAACGACTGGCTTCTTCCCGTTCCTCTGCACTCCTTCGAGAGTCTGAAAAGAGTATGGTGATAGGAGTGCAGTGCGCGGCCGATTGCAGCCATGGCTTATGGAGTAAGATTGTTAGCAGTTCAGCCTGTAACAGAACTAGTGCATGAAGTTGTCACCTTTAAGAGATCTTAGCATTCCATAGACATTTTCTCACTGACTAATTGAGATGTGCCTGTTTTTCTAAGTACAAGGGTGCACAATTGAAGTTGCTGCTTATTGATTTTAATTAAGATCTTAATGAGAATACAAATAAATCCCTTTCAAAGAAAAAGATCTGACTTGATTCTGCCCCCCAGTACTGCAGACTTCGGTTGTCACTGACTGTCCCGACAGGACAGTGAAGCCCTCCGATGTGTGAGCGAGCGCAGTGCTGTCCTCTCTCCTAGCTTAGCTGTGTGTGTGATGGTTTCCCAGCCTGAGACGGCTTTACTCTGCTGTAGAAACTGACTGTATTTGTGGTTTTCAAACCTTAGCAGTGAAACTTCTCTCAAGTAAATTTTTAGTCTAAATGCACTGAGTGTATGCACAAGTTACCCCCATTATATAGAAGCTACGTTTTATTAATATAGGTGTCCTTTTCTAAACTCAGTACAGTGTGGTCACCATTAAGTCACAGTGAGTGATGATACAGTTTCATTAGAGTTTAATGAGTAACAAATGTGTGTGATGAAAGCCTTTGTTTTGCAAAAGCTACTACTAATAGTATTTCAGGGCTGCGGTGTGGTTCAGTTGGTAGAGTGCTTGCCTAGCATGCATGGAGCCCTGGGTTCCATCCCAGCACTGCATAGAGAAACACACAGTCCTGGTGGTGTATTCCTGTAACCCCAGCACTTGGGAGGAGGAAGCAGGAAGATCAGAAGTTCAAGGACATCCTCAACTGCATAGAGAGTTCAGGGACATCCTGGGCTACATTGGGACCCTGTTTCAAAAAATGTGTGGGTGGTGAGGTTGGAGAAATGGCCCATTAGTTAAGAGAAATTGCTGTTCTTACAGAGGTCCTGAGTTCAATTCCCAGCACCTACACTGGTGGAGTCACCAGCAGCCTATAACTCCAGCTCCAGGGGACCCATACCTCTTCTGACCCACCCCCACACCCCAGAAGTAAATCTTTAAAGCATTTTAAAATTCATATTTTCAGATTATTCAACCTCCTCTGTTGATTCTCAATGGAACATATTTTTAAAACCTTGGGATAAGTGACCCTCTGAGAGATTTTCCAGTCCTAAAAATTGAAATTGTCCTTTTGGACTAGACTTGCTGGGTTTAGTTCAAATTGCCTAATTGAAAATGTTTCTGAAAATGAATAACATAGCGTTATGGCTTTGGGGTCTTTTCAGCAATAGCCAAAACCCTTTTCCTTGAGAATCCTTCACTTTTGAAGGATTAAACAGTGAGTTTAGAGACTTGATATTGCCCACAGCCCTTTCCTTGCAGTGTGAGCTCCAAGATACAGACTGATCCACTGTGCGGTGCCAGTGTCTCGGCTTGCCTCACCGTGTGGACAGCAGAACGCTGTGCTCATTCCGTTTCTCTTCAGATGGGTGGCAGGTGGGGCCTGCTGTAGAGTCATCATAAAAGTGGTAAATACACACTTTCCTACTCTGTACAGCTTTGTCTTAAAATGAGGGGTACTTAAATGCATTTACCATAGTAAGGAACCGTGTGCCTTCCGAGGTGTGTGAACTGCGTCCTGCTGTGGGGAATTTTTGTAATTTGGACCATTCGTGCTATGCTCGCTCAGTAACCGTGGATGCCGTAGACACTGGGTTTCAGAAAATGAGTTTGTGTACTGATGTAAAGGCCGAGGGCAGCAGAACCTGTTTCCTTCTTAAGAGAAACTGATACAATGTGCAATAAGGAAACTGCAGGTGGACGTTAGCAAATGAAAGACTTTTGCTTATGTAATTTCAAATTCTTATATACTAAATATCTATATTTATTAGAAGACTTTTATATTGTGCTCTGGGAATTGTGTTTGTGTGCTATGTTTTGAGATGATTTCCTTGTATTAATATATATCTGGGTAATAAGGCTGCTTGGAAACCTTTTGGTTCCCTGATTTTTAACACTGGGAAGTTGGGTTCATTAAAAGATAGTTCAAATAATTTGCAAGTGTTGGGAGTTTCCTTGCTTTGGGGGTGTCTCTGAACTGAAGCTTACTTTGTCAGCTCACCACCCACACTGATGAGGGGCAACACAATGGCAGTATAAACAGCAACGCGGCTTTGCTTGCCTTTCTGTCCTACTACCCATTAGACAGAACAGAGGGCTGAACACTGCTCCCTGGCAGTTGTGTATTCTCCGTGCAAAAGGATGTCAATCAAGAAGTGTGTAGCACGAATTCTGATTGGCCTTAATAGAAACCCAGAGTCAGATATCGGGGTAAATGCTGAAAGATGAGAGAGAGAAAGGAGCAAGCCACTTCTTACCTCGCCAGCGCCTCAGTCTGAAAGGGTGTTCCCAAGGTCCTGTCTCCACCCACTTTATATTCCTGTCTCCACCCTCCTCGTGCTGGGATTGAAGGCATGTGCCTCCCAAGCCTTGGGATCAAAGGTGTGTGCCACCACTGCCTGGCCTCAATGGTTAACTACTGGCTGGCTCCACCCTCTGATCTTCAAGCAAGCTTTATTTGTTAAAGTACAAACAAAATATCACTATAGAAGTGCCTTAAGCCTCACTGCCCAAGAGGGAAGCAGAAGGAGGTGGCAGCTTAGAGGTGAGTTCGCTGGTGCCCACCAACCATACTTGAAGAAGAGCACATTAGTATCAAAAGCCTCCTCAAATCCACTCTGATAAATATGCCACTCTGTAGGCTTAGCTCTTCATCGTCTCTACAGAATGTCCCTTGTAGGTGAGAGCACAGACGCCCAGAGGCTGCTTGTCTGTGCTGTGTGTCCCTTTTGTTGGCATTACAGTCCCGGTGCAGGCATAGGACGGTATGTGCATCACAACCAGTCACCTTCATTTGTGGTTAGACCCAGAGAAAGCCCACCCCTCAGCAAACAGTAACTACTGGGTGAGCTAGCCTCGCTCTCAAACCTGCTTTCGTTCCAGACAAAGCGAGCAGATTCACCAAGCAGGGTAGTTTTCAGCAGCACAGCTTAAGTAGGATATAAGACCGCTATCTGCCCTTAGGAACTGGCCAGAGAGCATTGTATGGAATCTGTCCCTTTAGAAACCTGGCTCCATTACTCTTGCCTTTGCTTCCAAACTGTAAAGCAAACAAAAGCGGGGATTCATCCCCACCCCACAAGAGGGTCAGTGAAATACAGGATGTAATAAAGCATAGTGTTAGAGAAAAAGAAGCCTGGGCAGCTTTCAGGACATGTAAGACTCAGCACGTGCTGGCAGACAGACGAGAGCACCAGAGAAAAGCTATAGGCGGCTCTGCTGCTGCCGTGTGGGTGGCCAGAAGCCAGCAAAGTCCGAGCTTCGACTCTCAAGCTCAGGGTTTTCCTTGTGAATGCCCCCCACTTCTCACAGCTTTTCACTCTACCCCATCTTAGAACAGTAAATATTTGCACCACTGAGTCATAATCCTAAGAGACTTTATTTGTAGTTTTTTTTTTAAAAAAGTAATTGGTACAATGAAAAAACTGTACAATACTTATTATGTTTGGGCAAATGTATACAAATGGAGGCTTTTCAAAAACAGTCCCTCAGATACCGACAGGCTTTCATTCGGTTTCATAGCCAGCCATGTAAGATAGTACATTTGCCTAGTAGAGGGGTGACGTGGCTCCATAGGTTATGTTGGCCACTGAAGAATGACAGTCACAGGATGAGATAGTCTAGAATCAAATACGCATCTTCCAGGTAGAATTAGGTTCATTTAACAATGATACAGAAGGACTTCTGCCTTGTGAATAGCTAGGAAAGTCTTTGAACATTGTTGAGTATTCCACATACAGATACCAAAAGAAGAAATCGTTTAATTCTTTCATATGCATTTATTGAGCACCTACTATGTTCTAGGCACTAATAACAGAGATGAGTGGTCTGATAAAGTGTAACTCCACACTGACATTAAAAACTTTTCTACCTGGTCCCTGGGACCATGATAGCTTCTGAAGAAATCTGTGCTCTCAAATAAAATGCACCATATTAAAGTAACTTAAAAAAAATCTAACATTTGTGAGGCCAAAGGAAGAGTAGAGAAAAGACTGAATCAGGGACCTGGGTGTCCGTAAGAGTGTTCCACTGCCCCGCTCTGACTCCTGGGGGGAGGTGGTAGCAGTCACAATCATAGGATATTAGAATCAAAAGGAACAAAGGTCCTCTGGTCCTATGCTTTTCGGAGGCCTTTATTAAAAGGCATATATGGCGTGAACAGCCCCAGAACCTCGTGCTGTATCTTCCCCAGCCCTGAAGTGGTCCATGAGATGGATTCACAGAGCTCGGTTTGCGGTGACAGAGGAGACTAACACAGCAGGAGTGACGGCATCCGGGGGTGCACTAGGTTCCTGATGAGAAAGGAAAGGGGGGCTAAACATGAAGAAACCCATTTTCAAAAACTGCACAAATCATCAACAGGAGACCCTCATTTTCTCTCAAGGTAGCCCCTTTATGAAAGGGAACTTTGAAGGGGGTGTAAGGCAGCCAGCCAGTCAGACGCTGAGAGAAGCATGGCGGATACCACACAGGCCTAAGTCGCTTGACATTCGGGCCCAACCACATACGCACTGCAATCACACGAGAAACGTGGAAAACGAGGAACAAGTATACACAAGTGCCGGCTCCTGGATCCCCTGCCCCTGGGAGGTGGCCAGCGTCTGGCTCAGAAATGCTAACAGAATAGGCATGTTTATAAAGTGCAACCAAAAATAGGGATTTGAGATTTCTTCAGAGGCAGCCTCGTCACAGACGAAAGCCCTAGTGAGATCCTGGC